AATGGGTTATTTTGCAATTAAATACTTTTTTCCCCCTTTCCCTGCAATTTCCTTCAGCTTTTTTTTTTTATATACCTGATTCTTAAAAAAGAGTCCTTACCATACAAATTCGACACTAGTTAGGTTTTACCGCCGCAAGCCTCTGTCTCCGGCATGAAATCACGGCGGCAGAACTTCTCAGAGGATCGTCAGATTATCCTCCGACGTCGCACACAARCATCGACCTCAATTAATGGTGAATCGATCCCAATTGATCTCATCATCGAGATAATCTCGAGATTGTCGACGAAATCTATAGCTATATGTCGCTGCGTATCGAAGCTCTGGGCTTCCATACTTCGCCGACCAGATTTCACTGATTCCTTCTTGACCAGATCTTCTTCTAGACCGCTGATGTTGTTCGCTTGCCAGAAAGACAGTGAGGTATACTACTTTTCCTCACCTCAGCCTCAAAATCCTGATGAGAATTCGTCTTCTTTAGCAGTCAATTACCATATGAAATTTCCGTATCATCATGTCTCTGATGTATGTAGACCTGTAAATGGTTTGGTATGTCATAGACATGAACGGGTTTTGGAAGGAAGGATAAATCGAGTGAGTGAATTGGTGATATGTAACCCTAGCACAGGACAATCCTTTACTTTACCCAAAATGAAGACAAGAACGTTGAAATTGGTAAGAAGCTTTRTCGGGTATGATCCGATTGAGAAACAGTTTAAGGTATTGTCAATGGCTTTTGGATATGGAAAAGGTAATAAGGGCATTTCTAAAGACCATCAAGTTTTGACATTAGGAARAGAGAAGAAACTGTCATGGAGAATGATTGAATGTGGCATACGCCATCATCCGCGACGTGATGGTATATGCATCGATGGCGTTTTATATTACAAAGCTGGGGTCAACCATGTGTCTGATGGAGAGATGATCATTTGCTTTCATGTTAGGTCTGAGAAGTGCAGTGTTGTTAAGGTCATGGAGCCTTTTATTAGAGCAGTGGGTCCACGAGCTACTCTGATAAACTACAATGGTAAGTTGGCTTCACTTTTTTCGGATCAGCCTTGCTTTTTTAGTGCAACATATGGAAGTTTTGCGTTATTCATTCTAGAAAACCCAGAAAAACAAGAATGGTCAAAGCATATTTTCGAATTTCCTCCTATATGGCAAAATGTACTTGAAGGTAAATACTTACAATTTGCTGGAGTGACTGGTTCAAATGAAATCGTGTTGTTGTCGTCAGGGTATCCTAGAAACCCTTTCGGCGTTTTCTACTACAATATCGAGAGAAAGACAATCAGAAGATTTGAAATCCTAGGAATGGAAGCATTTGTGGAGCGGCATGTTTATATATTTCCAGATCATGTAGAGGACGTGAAGCTTATGCAGTCGTTTTAGGACATATAGCTAGTTTGGCTCTCAAGTTCTCATCATGGGATCTTAATGAAGCCCTTATCTTTCCACTGTTTTTCTCTAGTTATAACTTTTCTGCTTATTAGATAATTATTTTCTGTTGTCTTTGATGGTATTCATCTTTTCTAGATACCATTTATTTACACTTTGGAGCATYGTTGATAAACTAATTTGGAGTCTATAACTCACATGTAACTGAACCATCATCGACTTATCTTAGTTTAAGAAGAGTTATGGGGCAGATTGTTTACAGCTAGAACTGCTCCTTGTTGAGTTCAACGGATGCAATGCAATTGTTAGGTGAAGATCAAAAGAGGCAGACAAATCAGAAACAATTTCCGGCCGGTTTGATGTGGTGAAAAAGTAACATCAGCCAGCCTCTAAGCAATGGAGAATTGGTAGAATAATAATTTGGGTGATACATGAAATGCAAAGTACAAATGAGTCTCAACTAGGAAAGAAGAGRGYTTAAATGTTCATCTTAGAGGGAATAAGCGCCAAGAAAAAAGAGCAACAAAAATGGTAAGTCAAGAGAGTGATGCTCTCAATCCACCAACTCTTATCACAGACATTCAACATGTATAAGTCCATCCAATATCCAGCACCTGTCATATGATCAAGAACAGAAGAAGACCATTAATAAAATATTGACCAATACCAATAAGCACTTGAAACCCAATTTTCAGATGGATTTGCCTAAATCATTTTCAACCATAAAATCATTAGGTTAGATTTCTAAAACCACCACTTGCTTTTATCATAAATCTCTAAGGGACTTGTATCATATAGTTTAGTGACTTACTAGAGGAAGGAATTTTAGTATCCCATTTGCAAGCACATTCTTCTTTATGGGTCCTGCATCATTAAATACGAACAAGACCAAATATGTTAAACAAATCAACACAACACAACCCTATCCTATTTCTTTCCAGCAATACAAGTAAGAGTAAACTCACGTTGAAATAAGAGGAGAATGTTTCGATATCATCGAATTCGTTGATGTTGAGTAGATTGTCGATGTGGGAGCCGGAAAGAGTCTCCAAATGGGTTAAATCGCCAAAGAGGAGGTCGTCCATCTGTTTCAAGCAGACTTATCAAATATGGAAAAGGAAGACAAAGGTGCTTGCTTGAGTGATAAGAAAAGGAAAAGCTATTCACTAAACGAGATTTATACCGTATGAGGTAGAACGCTTCCACTTCCCATAGATTCAGCTGGTAAGTCTTCAGGCGCATGACCAATACTCTCGACCACTGTAAACCATAATCAATACATCAGCTTCTAAATACATACCACCACTTGTATTCCTGATAGTATGTACAAGTAACATTTATATACATATGTACTCAATTTCAGATCAGTCAAAAATGTTGTTATTGATTTCTATAGAACATAGTCGAATGATTCATCTGAGTTTTTTTTCTAGCTTTAATACACTCAACTCAGTATACAGAAGAGAAATCAGTTGGATCACAATTTGCACCAAAATCAAATAACATTTCTAATTAAGAGAAAGATTACGCCTTTAGGCCAAACAAATTGTCACTTTTTCGTGTGACCTAAGCAACACACAAAGTAAGATCAAGCAAGAGAAGAGCATCCATGGCCAGACTCACCGGAAGTAGAGCCTCCATCTTGACCGGAATTTCTAGTCGGAGAAGGAGGAGTGTCGAGAGCAAAACAGAGCTTTCCTATACCGGATCGAAAAGACCAGACATGATAGACATCGCCGACTTTAAACGTGTTACTAGCAACCACATCATTCCAATTATCATAAAAAACATAGTTCCAGCCTCCATTCATCTGCCACCTCCTCAAATTAACGGCATGTTTCTTCAAGTTAGGATCAATCAAATCAACACTCACACCTTCTTTACGAATCTTCGACTCTGATTGTTCGTATATGATTCTTGATTCCTCCTCCGTAAGAAAATCTTTGTTCACTACTTGCTTTAACGGCATCGAGAGACGTCTCTGCCCTATATCGAGATCACTCTGAAACAGTTTCTTCGCTATGATCAGCTTTGGATCGTATCCGTTACCTTCGCGCATCATCACGTTCAAGAGCCACTCAGAAGGAGTCGATTCCGTGGGCAACAAGATTTTAGGTTTCTTGCGAGTACTTCTCTCTTCTTCTTGTTTGGAGACGTTAATGGCGAAAAAAGGAGAAGTTTCCGGGTTCTGTAGTTCAACGGATCTCTGTTTCTCGATGACACGTGTCCATGGTGTTGTTGTTGCCATGGAAGATGGCGATGGGCGGCTACGAGGAGTTCTCTTCTTCCGAGGTACATTCACAGGAAACATGGCTTCTCTCTCGAGGGCAAACATGGCGGCGACTTCAGCCAACACGATCAGCTTCGAGCTTGATCTACGAAAGTGAAACCCTAATAATCAGGAATCTTCTTACGAACGAAGCGTTGTGCACAAGAAATCGAAAGC